ATAATCTTGAAACCTAGGTTCACGACAGCTCTCAAACTTGATGCTTGAAAACATTAACAGGATAGGCGAGCACCTTATTATAAAACTTAAAAAATTTTCAAAAAGTTCTCTTCAGTAGTTTCTTGTTCCCATACACAATGAGTCAATAAGTTCTACACATATAAGTGAAAAGCCTGTGAATATGTGAGCATCTTTGCACCGACCAGGAAGCGGTTAAAAAACGGGGATACAGAAGAGACTATAGATACAGAAGATGCATAAGAAAATTTTAGATTTCTGAATATTTAAAATCGTGTCTAAATAACTTATAACCCGTCCACCATTTCAGTGGGAATAAAATTATCTTCTCCTACTGCACCGTTAGAAAGTTAGGAAGAAGCAAAAAACTAATCTTAAACCGCTGGAGACAAACAGAGCTTTGTTGAGAACGCTATATTTGAAAAATGAAACTTACTGGTAGGAAAATTTAGGTCTGGATATGCGTACGCATAACTGCATAACGCTAATTAGGCAGTGGAGAAAACAGCTTGTAAAGAATCTGTTTATTTATTTAAACATGCATTTGCAAGATGGATCAGAAATTCAAATTTTTTGTCTGTACATAAAATACTTCAAGGGCTTACTACTCTGATTATCCTCTACAGAAGGAAACAACTAATCTTCCCCACAAGCACATGCCCTACGTTCTTCAAGCACTTTGCCGTTTACTTCTACTAAACAGTTACTTCCTCTGCAAAATTTGAGCTTCAAATCATAAACAGGAGGCGAGCACCTAGGAATTGAAGGTCGAGCTGCACGATAAAGAGTGTCATATCCATCGAAAATATACTGGAATGAGCTCTCTCAATATACCACCAGTTAAAAATACAACTTCTTCGCCACAATTTCGTAGCCACCACCTCTGCTGTAGTCGGAACCGAAAGAATGAAGTTCCCAATAGAAGGACGCTAAAACACCACTTACCTCTGTAAAAACCAGAAAAATCGTTGAGTCCACACATCCACCGAGCAGCAGGACCTCCAAATTCAAATTTTTTAGGGAATAAACAAATTTTCCCATAACAGTTTACACGGTTGGGTTAAAAAACATTACATGCACCACACGCAAAATCTTACAACTGTGGCTGAACCCGTTTGTAATAATAAAGTCAGATTAAAAAATTTCACATTCCAAAATGTTTCCCAAGAAGGCGAAGCGACTGCAAAGAACCAGCAGCAAAACAGTTTTTTTAATAAGAGCCAAAATTGGTTAAAATAACATTCAGTTTGGACAATGTGGCCAGTTATAAATAACTTTATTTTTTAAATTCAGCAATGTTTCTCAAAATTTTATCAGAGTATACATTTGTATGGCATTAAACAGTGACAGATCGTCCCTGTAGATACGTTGTTCCAGCGAATCTTTTATCAATTTAAGTTCCATTTTCCTCGTCAAAAAAAGCGCATACTGAGGAAAAATTAATCGTAAAAATAAGAGCAAGAACATATAAGAACGTCGTAAATTTAGGAGCTATGAAAAGCCTGTGTTTAAAATATCC